TTGGGTTTTCAGTCCACTGGGAAACCCTTTTTTTCCCAAGTCGCCCTTTCAGGTTTTCAACTTGCCGGGTGTACAGATTTTTTTTATTTTATCCCTAATTTTTGCCCGAACCTTTTGGTTTGCCGGGATACCCTTGTTTTGCCTAGGTGTGTCAACCTAGCGGGTCTCTTATACGTAGTATCTTTTGACTATGTCTGTGTTTGCAGGGTGTGGCAGATCGTCGCTGTCCATGGTGGTTAAGATCATTGCCCCACCGAAAAAGACGTTCTTGATTACAAATAGTCCTTCATAGGTAGAAGTCCATTTGCCCCTGGGATCACTTTGTGGCAATATGATGCGCTTGATCACTAGATCTCCAACTTGATATACCTGGCGTCTGACTTTCTTATTGAAAGCCTTGATCATCCGTTTTTGATACATCTGACCATGGCAAACAGCGGTAAGTCTCTTTTCATCAATTAAGTTCAGTTGATCAAGTTGGGTCTGGATCCAACCGTCTTCACTCAAACCTGCATCTTTCATAATTCTTAAACAGGGGATTTGAACCTCGATAGGCAAGACAACCTCCATGCCATAAACCAGAGAATAGGGTGTTGCCCCAGTTGATGTGCGAGCTATGGTACGATACCCGTGGAGAGCAAATGGTAGCATTTCATGCCAGTCCTTATAGGTTACTGTCATCTTCTGTATGATCTTTTTAATATTTTTATTAGCAGCTTCGACAGCACAATTCATCTTTGTCCGATAGGTGGATGAATTATGATGTTGAATCTTGAACTGCTTGCACAAGGCGGTGATCATAGTATTGTTAAGGTTCGTACCGTTATCAGTGATGATCCTTTCTGGGATATCGTACCGGCAAATAAGATTCTTCTTGATGAAGCGGGCAACAACATTCTTAGTAACGGATGCAAAGGAAGCTGCTTCGGCCCACTTCGTGAAATAGTCAATAGCCACTAGAATGAAGCGGTGTCCATTGGAGGCTGTAGGCTTGATCTCCCCAATCATATTGATTCCCCACATAGCGAAGGGCCAAGGAGCTGTTAAGACATTTAGAGGAACCGGAGGCACGTGCACCTTGTCTGCATAGATTTGACACTTATGACAGGTCCGGGAGTGTTGATAGCAGTTTGCTTCCATGGTAGACCAGTAATAGCTTGCCCGTAGAATTTTCTTCGCCATCGTATGCCCACTAGAGTGAGTTCCAAAGGTACCTTCATACAATTCAGCCATGATCTTTTCAGCTTCAATCTTATCCACACAACGGAGCAGAATAGTATCATGATTATGTTTGTACAGGATGCCATTACTTAGGAAGAACTTAGCAGAGAATCTCCTTAGGAACTTTTTATTATTGATTGAAGCTCCTTCTGGATATTCTTGAGCCTCGAGATACCTTTTGACTTCATGAAACCACGGCTGGTCCACTACTTCTTCAGTATTAATCACGTGACAATGTGCTGGTTCGTCCATTCGCTCAATGGTGATATGGGGAGCCTCGTTATCCCAATTAAGTTTAAACATAGATGACATTATGGCTAGAGCATCTGCTAGCTGATTTTCTTCTCGCGGGAAGTGCTCGAAGATAATCTGCTCGAAATGTGGTAACAATGTCAAAACATGTTCTTTTTAAGGGATAAGGTTTGGATGCTTAGTGTCCCATTCTCCTTTGATCTGACTGATGACCAAAGCTGAATCTCCAAACACATCAAAAGATTTGATTCCCAAGTCTATGGCAGCCTTGAGACCAAATATGCATGCTTCGTATTCTACCATGTTGTTCGTACAGTTGAAGCAAAGTCTGGCGGTAAAAGGAGTATGGCATCCTTCCGGAGATATGATTACAGCGCCGATACCATTACCAAGTGCATTGGATGCCCCATCAAAGAACAGGGTCCATCGGGATCCTTGTTCAGGTCCGTCATATGGTCTGATCTCTTCATATTTGTCTAGTGTCATGATGTCTTCATCCGGGAATTCAAACTTCATGGACTGATAATCCTCTACAGCTTGATGAGAAAGATGATCAGCTAGCACACTGCCTTTTATAGCTTTCTGGGTAGTGTATTGTATGTCATATTATGTTAAGATCATCTGCCATCTAGCTATTCTTCCAGACAGAGCAGGCTTTTCGAAGATGTACTTTATCGGATCCATCTTAGATATCAGCAAAGTGGTATGAGTCAACATATACTTTCTTAGCCGGCGAGCATCCCATACCAGAGCGCAACAAGTTTTCTGGAGCAATGAATATATGGTTTCACAGTCGGTAAAATTTTTGCTCAGGTAGTAAATAGCGTGCTCTTTTGGGCCAGACTCGTCATGCTGCCCCAATACGCACCCCATTGAGTTCTCTAAAACGGTCAGATACATGATCAGTGGTCTTCCCTCGACTGGTGGCATCAAGACAGGAGGCTCTTCTAAATACTCTTTGATTTTATCGAAAGCAATCTGACATTCATCATTCCATCTAACTACTTGATCTTTCTTCAACAGTTTGAAGATTGGTTCACAAGTAGATGTTAGGTGAGAAATGAATCTGGAAATATAGTTCAGGCGTCCCAAGAATCCCCTGACTTCCTTCTCAGTGCGAGGAGCAGGAATTTCTTGTATTTCCTTAACCTTGGCAGGATCAACCTCGATGTCTTTGTTGCTGACAATGAAACTTAAGAGTTTACCGGACCGGACTCTGAATGTGCACTTGTTCGGGTTTAACCTTAGTTTGTACTCCTTCAATCTGACAAACAACTTTTGCAAGTGATCAAGGTGTTCTTCTTCAGTTTGTGATCGGGCTATCATGTCATCTACGTAGACCTATATCTCATGATGTATCATATCATGAAACAAAGCTACCATGGCACGTTGATAGGTTGCCCCGACATTCTTCAGTCCAAATGGCATCACTTTGTAGCAGAACGTACCCCACTGTGTGACAAATGTAGTTTTCTCCATGTCCTCAGGTGCCATTTTAATCTGGTTATAGCCTGAGAATCCGTCTATGAAAGAAAATACTTTGTGCTGGGCTGTATTGTCAACCAGGATGTCGATGTGTGGAAGTGGAAAATCATCTTTAGGGCTGGCCCTGTTTAAATCTCTATAATCCATGCACATTCTCACTTTGCCTTCCTTTTTAGGCACGGGAACAATGTTGGCCACCCATTGAGGATAAGAAGTAACAGCCAGAAATCCAGCATTGAACTGTTTCATAACTTCTGCTTTGATCTTCTCTGACATGTCAGGTCTCATGCAGAGGACTTTTTATTTCACTGGTGGACAGTCTTCTCTTGTGGGTAGATGATGTACCACGATGTCTGTATCGAGTCTCGGCATGTCTTCGTATGACCAGGCAAAGATCTCAACATAATCATGCAATAGCTGAATTAGACACTCCTTGACACTCGGCTCTAGATTGGCACCCACTTTGATTTCCTTTTTATCTTCCTCGGTACCCAAATTGATTGTATCCAACAGCTCCTCATGAGGCTGAATAGCTCTTTCCTCTTATTGTAATAGTCTGGCCAATTTCCCTGGCACCTCACAATCTTCCTCACCTTCATATTCGGCTTGGTAGATCAGATCTTCAGAGTCACTGATGGCTATAGAAGTATCGTTACCCATGGGATCTGGAATGGAAGGGTACCTGCATTTGTGAGTATGGGTGTGTGTAAGGGTATAGCCATCTTAAAACAATAAAATGTAAAAGAAAGACAATGAGCACAAAAGGTTTATATGTGAAAAAGCGTCCATGATTCATTGAATGTCATATGAAGATGAAATAAAAACCCTTACAAATGGACCGTTGTGCCTTGGGTAAGACACAAGGTTTTTAAAGTGCGAATTGTTCGTGAATATTACAAGTCCAACAGAAATGTAAAAGATAAATTACTGAGAGATGAAAGTTATTGGGATGAAGTCTCTAGCTTCCCAGTTGCGAAGTCCTCCGCTGACAGTAGGAAATATCCAATCTTCTAGCACTACAAGAAAATTGGCAGATTGCGACAGGTATTTTTGTAGATTACGACGGTTAAAACTGTCGCAATTTGCTTTCCACGACGGTTGCTTTACCATCGCAGAAGTGTGTATCCCCAACCTATTTCGCGACGGTTACAAAAATTGTCGTTCAAGTTTGCGACGGGTTTGGAGCTGACATAATCAAGTATTGGTGACTGTTTGATACCGTCGTGACTATCTTTTGAGTTTCTTTTAATTATTGATGGCGACGGTTCGATACTGTCGTGAATATCTTTTGAAATTGATTAAATTGTTTATGGCGACGGTTCGATACCGTCATGACTTTTGTTGATTATTTTTAATTGTTGATTACGACGGCTCGGTACTGTCGCCATGACTTTTGTTTATGTCTTGATTTTTTTTTATTTTTCTATTATATATATTTTTTATTTAAATTATTATCTATATAAAAAATTTTAAATATAGTTTTTTTTGTGTTATTTTTTTCTTTAAATTATTTCTTCTTTAATATATTTATTTATAGTATTATTTTTTGTTTTATTTTCTATCACTTTGTAATATAGTAAAAATAATTTCAATAAAAAATATTTAACATCAAATAAGCATTATAATATCTAAAAAAATGTGTGTTCCATAATCATGTAAAATGCGAGTTCCATAATCTTGTCAAGTAGTACAAAAAACCCAAAATATATCAATTCCTAATCTTATAATAATAAGTATCATTATGCCAAAAATACATGAGAAAGTTCACAATCTAATTATCTCGATCATAGCAAAGTCTAATTTGTCCCCCCTGAAGTTCCATTATCTCCAATACGGTAGCTAGACTCAGATGAACGTCTACCATCAGCGGGTGATTCCAATCCCTAAAAAAAGGTATTAAAATAATAATCTTTAAAATAATACTCATAAAATTTAAATTTAAATGCGTCAAAATAATATACCTGTCTTCCACTAAAATTCTGCATTTGTATTAAGAGTTCAATTTCCTTTGTCCTCGCCTTGTCCCTTTTAGGGTTTAGGGTTTATGGTTTAGGGTCGTCGGGATTTGGATCCGTCAGCAACGAGCAAATTGACAAAAGGACCTAAAATAGTGAATGTTAGGTATATTTTTTGTGAGATTTAGATCAACAGCAGACAACATCATCATTCCAAACGAAGCTCATTAAAAAAGGAGAAAAATAACACATTCAATTTCCAGCAGTAAATTTCTATGAATCGTATAATCAGCTTATATGAAGATGACAAACTATATCTCTAGTCAACAGAATGAATAGATATTTATATTAGCCACTTCTGCACTTGAAATATTAGTGACCTAATTTTTCTCTTACGAAAAAAATCTTCTAAAAAGAATTACAATTCTTGTGTTTTAAAAATATCATTTTTTTTGTTCTAGATTTTCAAATTTCCCAAAAAAAATTTAAAACCAGCACAAGTAGTATGAAACACATAAAAACATCAATGAGATTACAGCAGTAAGTAACAATAGAAATGATAAGAGTACAAAAAGTCATGGATAGACAAATTTTATATGTGAAAATAAGCCTCATTCCTTGATAAAACTGTATGCTTCAATTGAATTTCCAAACAATTAGCAAAGTTTGTGATTCTAAATTTCAGTAGGCGAACACATTTAATAGTCAGAATTTGTATTTGTCCAATATTGGCAAATGCAAGTAAATTAGCTCAAAACCTGACAACACATTTGTCCAATATTTTTCACATTTGCAAATCATTCTAAAAGGCAACACAACACAATCCAGGTGTCACATTTAGCTAAAACTTGATACATAATCATCAATTATCAAGAATAACAAGTAAAATCAAACCTTAGAAATGGTCAATGCTGGGCTCCATTGTTCTTTTAGAATGTCAAGACAGATTCTTCCATTGCTGTTGATGTTTGGGTGGAATACCTTAGTCCTAAATGCAACCTGCAGTATTAAAATAACTTTAGCATGTTTAGACTATTTAACTAAATACATGGTACAAGATATTTACAAAATTGATTAACAGGCAATAAAACAACATTTATAACTTGTGAACAAATTAAACTGGATAACTAACTGTCAACTGTTGAGGAAAGAAGAAAATGAAAGAGAACAATACGATTTGATAAGGAAAGAAGAAAATGAAAGGCAAAATATAATTGAAATGAAAAGTCATCTAACAGCTTCTCTGTTAGTTTTTCCAACCCCAATAGAAGTTTGTGAATTAGTGACAAATAATCAGATTTATAACCAACCAGAACTAATAACCATGTGATGTTTTCTACCTTCCAATACAGCAAAAGCTAGTAAATATCCACATGCTACAACAAAAGACAAATATAAAAGCGTGTTCGAGGGCAAGAGGCACAAGCAGCACAAGCCCAAAATGTGAAGGTGCAAACTTATTTTGAATTGCGGAGTCTAATCGATATTCTTAGGGGAGCAAATATGCAATATATCTATTCATATTTAATGTGCAATACAAGCTTGGCTTCCTTTAACCTGGCGTTTGCATTTATTCAAAAATAACACACTCACTAGAAACAACAACAAAAATGGTCATGGTCGGATTAACAAATCGTACAAAAAAGAAACAATCATGCTACAGAGTACATATAGACAAGATCTGCCTTGAAGCATTTGAAAAACAAACAAACGAACAAATCACAATAAATTATAAACATCATAAAAACAGACAAAACAAACAAGCAACTAACGTAGAAACAAGTAACGGTTCAATTACCTTTGGTGGCTTGAATGGATAATCCGGCAATGGTGTGAATGAAGGAAAGGCCACTGAAGGTGAAAAAAAGGATCAGGAAACTGAAAAACGTTCAGCTGCTTCATTACTGATATATGCATTTCGTTTAAGAATCAGTACTTCATTACTAATTCAGTACTCCAGTACTTCATTATTGATAAATCATTGTTTAAGAAAATAGGCAATTTTTTTTATTTCACCAATTTATATTAGTTTTCATCGATTCTAATCGGTCCAGCGACATATTTAATCTAATAATCAAATCAAACCCTAAAACAACAAATTAGAAAACCTAAAAAATCATAAAAAGAAATAAAACCCTAAAACAACAAATTAGAAAACCTAACATCAATTCAATATATTCAAACTCAAAATCAATCATCACAAAGAGCTCAACCATAAGATTCAAGTGAATCTCCATTGCTGAAATCAATGGCAGAGAATGAGAGAGATGAGAACAATGCAAAAAGTGATACATAAAACTTATTGTGTTTGAAGAGATGAACGCAGAGGATGTTAAACTGCTTGTTGTGCGTTTTTTGGTGTGAAGATGAGCGGTTTGAAGAGATTCCTTTCGGTGTCAAGGGGTTTCTTTCGGTGTGAAGAAGAACGGCACCGTGAGTAGAAAAAGTGAACGCAGGAGTAGAAAGTGAATTGATGTTTTATGTATTTTAAGAGCTTTTTTACTTTTTTACGGCGACGGGTGTTTTACCGTCGTGCCCATGAGAATTTTTAAAGGTTTTGGGTGCGACGGTTGTTTTACCGTCGTGAAATGAATTTTAGGACGGATAATTTTACCGTCGTGAAAGGTTTAAGGGTGCGACGGGTGCTTTACCGTCGTGATATGCCTTTTAGGACGGTTAATTTTACCGTCGTGACTAGTTGTTGGTGAAAAATCAATGTTAAAAGTGTTAAATGGGGGCCGACGGTTGTTTTACCGTCGTAATAATAATATTATGATGGTAAATTATACCATCGCAAAATAAATATTAGGGACGGTTGGTGTCAATTGTCGTAAACACTGTCTCTATATGTCAATTACGACAGTTATCACATAACTGTCATAATTTTTGTGTCGTTAAACACTAATTTTCTTGTAGTGTAGGTTGCCATCCTATTCATTGTCTTCTACTGCATTGACCTCGTGGTTGCTAATCCTCACAGGTGGCCCCCCAGCACGGGCACAGCGCACGACCTTCTGAGCAGTTGAAGTAAGCCCCAAGCCAAACTGGTCTGATTTGTACAGAATGTCCGGAAGCTGCCCCCAGATGGTGCACCCACCTTCTTCCACTACTGCCTTTGCATCCTTTAGAGATGACATCTGAGGTGGAGGTCTTGTGATCTTAGGAATCGAGGATACCGCCTTGGTCGCCGCTACTTCTGGAGAGACTTCTCCAAAATGTTGGAAAGGGGTTTCAATGAACTCTCCATCTAACTCCACGTAACAGAAGGAATTCATATGACTAATCATATACTCCTCCTCCCCATGGACAATTATGATCTTTCCTTGGACGGGGTACTTCAGCATCTGGTGTAATATAGAGGTGACGACACCGGCATTGTGGATCGAGGGTCATCCTAACAGATAGGAATAAGAAGGACGGGTGTCCATCACATAGAAGGTTGAGTTGAAAACCTAAGTTCCCACCTTCATTGGGATGTCCACCTCCTCGTGGACCATCCTCTTCGAACCATCAAAAGCTCTCACCACTATGTTGTTGGGTTTTAAAGTCATCCCCTCGCAATCCAATTTGTCAAGGGATTTTTTCGGTAAGACGTTTAAAGATGACCCAGTATCAACCAAGACATGGGCTAGGGTTGTTCCTCTACACTCCAGTGATACATGTAATGCCTCTTTGTGTTTTCTCCCTCTGGGTGTCAAGTCAACATCAGAGAAACCCAGGCCATTATCAGCTGTCAAACTGGCCACACAATCCTGGAATTGGTCAGTGGACATCTCTTGCGGCACATGAGCTGTCTTCAGAAATTTTACCAGAGCTTTGGCATGTGCTTCAGAGAACAGCAACAGGGCTAGCATAGAGATCTTGGAAGGGTTTTGCCCCAACTGTTCAACCACATCATAATCACTCTTTTTTATTATCCTCAGGATTTCTTCCATCTCCTTCTTGGATGTTTCAGGAATAGCTAGTGATTGAGCCTTCATCCGAACAGGCTCTTCTTGAATGTTTTTTCCTTTATTCTCAGCAGTGGAAGTAGGGATAAAGATTGTGTTGTCTTTGTCGATAGGTATGCTTGCAGGTATAATCACTGGTGCAGAGGTAATCTTTGGAACAACCACGGGTCCAAAGACTGCTTTTGGAGGAGCAATCTCTGGAGAGAAGATTCTACCACTACGGGTAATCTTGCTAGTTCCGGAAATATTGCTAATGTCGGAATTTTCCTCTACGGAGCTTTCTTCTTCGGCAGTCAGTTCATCCTGTTTAATACCATGGTATCAGATTTCTCCACCGTAATTCCATGGTACTGTTTTATCTGATTTGTAAGGGGCCGGCCCGGGCATTGTAATCTTAAGTGGAGTAGTATTTGGAGCAGGTGTAATCCTAACGGGTCTTTTAGGGGCCCTGGAAGGATTGGCGTAGATGGTTATAATTGAAACGTCTTTAATTGGAACGGGTGAAACAGGAGCATTCTCAAACAGAATTTCTTGGTTATCCATCAGTCGTTGGATACCTTTTTCAATAGAGGGCAGTCAAATGATGAGGATATGCAAACATGGCAGTCTTTGTCACAACCTGGGAATATGCCAGCTTTCAATAAATTCAACTTAATAATCAGGAGCGGAGTCAATAGTTCATCCACGGTAGCAACAAACAAATCTTCTTCGATAGCGTTGGCATTGTGACCATGCCTAGGCATTGGAGCGTAAATAACATTCGGTTTCTCAGGCGCTTCAAACTCAACTTCCTTCGCGTTTATCAGGTCTTGAATTTTGTTCTTCAGAGCCCAACAATTGTTGGTGTCGTGCCCTGGACTTTTAGAATGGTACACGCATCTGGCGTTGGGATGGTAATAAAGAGACGTAGTATTGGGATTCTTTGGGGCCTCTTTTAAAGTGGCCAGATTCAACTTTAGAAGATGTGGTAGAACTTGGGCTGGAGTCATGTTAATCTTGGTGAATTTCCGGACTGGCCTTTCCACCCTTTGCTGGTTATTTCTTGGCTGGTCTGATGCAGGCTTTGGAATCATAACTCTCCCCACCGTTGGTCGGCGCTCGGTTCTTCTCTGATTCCTCTGTGAATAAACAACTGATACTTCCTTTCTTCCAGTCAAGGGATTTTTCACAGCTGTAGAGGCAGACGCGTCCTTCTGAATTTTCCCACTTCTTATACCAGCTTCCACCCTTTCGCCGGTTAAAATCAATTCAGTAAACCCTGCAGAAGAACTCCCAATCAGATAATTGAAGAAAGGGTCTGATAGAGTTCCCAGGAACATGTCCACCAACTCCCTTTCAGATAGAGGGGGTTGCACCCTTCCGGCTAGATCTCTCCACTTTTGTGCGTAATCTTTAAAGCCCTCATTGGAAACCGTAGCCATACTCTTAAGCTGAGTACGGGTAGGTGCCAAATCGGTGTTGTACTGATATTGTTTATAGAAAGATGCTTCCAGGTCTTCCCAATTGTGGACGTCAACCCTTTCTAATTGGTAGAACCAATCAAGTTGCATTCCTGATAAACAGTCTTGGAAAAAGTGGACCCACAAGTCTTTGTCGGCAGAATGTGGTAAATCTTCCTGACATACGATCGGAGGTGCATTTTAGGGCAAGACACCCCATCATACTTGGCAAATAGTGGCACTTTAATCTTTCGTGGGATCATAATTCCTGACACCAGCCCCAACTCTTCAAATCTAGCCTTGGTACTCTCTCGATTTCCATAGCGCTTAGTCGCTCTTCAAGGTGTTTGTACTTGTCATCAGCCGGAGGGTATTGTTGTTCAGAGTAGTCCTCCTCTTCCTCCTCTTCTTCAGAATCTGATGGTACTGCCATTTCTTTTCCTTTTCTTTCCCCTTCATCAGATGTTGTTGGAAAATCTAAGGTCCTTCTAGCTTGTCCCTGAAACCTTCTGCCCATGATTACCACACCAGTTGGCTTCTTCTTCTTTTTCACTTTCTCTTTTTCTAGCAGAGTCTTCAGCTTCTCTTGCCCCTTGGCTAAGGTCATGAGTAACTGTTGAAATTGCGTATTCTGAGCTTGGAGATCTTTGACCGTTTGTTCGAGATCCATCTTACTGAAATAAACAGTAGAGAGATGAGGAAACTTGTTGCAAAGACCTATTTATGTTTATGATGAATGATATGTATTCATGCAATGCTTTCAAGGATTTATAAATTCAAATTTGTTTTAAACAAAAAAGAAACACACGTCATATTAATAAAATAGAATTTGAGTACATCAATGCCCCTTGGGCAAAATAATACAAAATTCTAAGGTAAAAAGACATTGCGCATCCTCTTTGGTGCAATGTAGGTATTGAGAGTCTTCTCTTCATGAAGTAGCCGAGTGAGTTCCAAAACCTTCTTCTCGCTTGCGTAGAATTGGGCTTCGAAAGTATCGTGCTCTCCTTTAAGCTGTATCCAATCCCTTTGTAGGTCTTCGAGTGATATTGGCATGTCAGCATGTAGGATAGTGTATGGAAATTCTCCTTCCTTAACAGGCTCAATAATCACTGGGAGAATGAAGGGATAAGGCATCATAAGACTTTGAGCACGGGTTCGTACCCACTTGAGGTAGGGCTCATGAGGGATGGAATTCTTGTGTCCCAAAGTCTTACTATCAACCTTGTTTAGCATCCTCCAAGCTCGGATGAATCTCTGGCGAAGTCCTTGATCTTCGTTGTTGTAGTCGAAAACCAATCCTTGAATCAGCATATCATGTGGGCCATCCCTTCGGGCATAACCAAACTGTCTTAGAGCTAAGCACGGGTTGTAGGTGATGCCTCCCCTAATGCCAAGTAGAGGGATATTAGGGAATTCCCCACAACGGTCAACAATGATAACATTCTCCTTGGATCGAGAGCACCAATGAATATCTGAATGTTTAAGTGTCATTAACCTTTGTGACCACCTCAAACCTTGCTCATTCTTCAAGACTGATTGGGGAAAATGAGAAATAAACCATCTTGCCAGGAGAGGAGTACAACACATAAGAACACCTATTTTCCTCATTGTATGAGTGTGAAAAGAGTGTAGGATATCCCCAAGCAATGTAGGCACCGGGTTGCGAGACATGAAGATTTTGACAGCGCTTACATCTATGAGTTGGTCAGGATTAGGGAACAAGACCATCACATTGATGAGAAGAGCTACAATCTCCTCAAAAGCTTGCAAGTCTAGGGAATTCCAATAGCTTTGGGCCTTCTCAAATAGAAACTTTGCCAAGAAGCCTTTGACACCACTTCTAGT